TTTCAAGGTTACTAAATTGTTTATTTAACGTTTCAATAATATTTTTTAATATTGATGAAGGTCATCGAAGAAATTAATGGAAGATTCTTGAAATTAGATCTCATGTTTATTAAACTTAAATTAATTCTATCAGAATGATTGATAGACTTGACATTTAAGTTCTACATATTTGATGATACTGCATTTCAATGATTGAATTTAGTGTCGTTTCGAAATCATATAGCATGTTTTCAAATAAGTCAAGGTGCTTATACTTTCGTGAAATATTCCATAAAAAATCGAAAAATACACATTTTAAATAAATATATATGACGGATTTAACTCGATTCAGTTATTACCTAGTTACGTAAGTAATCAGAGGTTTCATGATTTTTCAAATTGTAAAAAAGCAGAATTGATTAAACTTAGGAAAATTCTACATGATCTATATATATATAATTGTTTATTTAATTTTCTTACTTTATTCATGTTTCTTAGTAATTGTTGATATAAAGGTTCAGAATCTCAGGCTAAGAACGCACCAAGTCAAAACTATTATATTGTTAAAATATTAATAGTAGTTGAAACCGTAAGTTCTGGTATGTACGTATTAGGTAATGGAGATTTTTGAACTAAGAACTAACTTTTTGAATAAATTTTAATAGTAAATTCAAATAAAGAAATACATAGACAAATAGACAATATTTGAAATGCTGTAAATTAAAAGTGCAAACTTTGGGCATATTTTTTTTATATTTATGATAATGTGCCATATTTTCTATGATCTATCACCAAATCCTCAATATCAAAGGCATTTAAAAGTTGAATATTCAACCGATTTTGTTAGACAAGTTGATGCACTAAACAAGAAAATTATTATCACATTAATGCGCATCCAGCAAGGTTAACGTGTTTTGCAAGTTCAAGTGAAACGACGACGTTCCAGAAAAATTTGCAAGGACAAGTAAGCCAAGTGCGTGATAATTTCTGGTATTAACGGGATTACAAATTACATTTAAGATACCCGTTTGTATGAATTGCCTTCCTATACGTGAGTTTTTTTTTCATATATATTTCTTGATTGTTAATGAATAGCTTAAAAATAGTTTGCATAAACAGTTTAAGAATTGAAGTTATTAGGTTGTCTTACATACTAAATACACACAGACATGTTTCTTTGTTCTCTGAATGTGGTTCTATTTTATACAATTGACTGCAGTGAAACTTTGACATGTCATTGTCAACACACTGCCAAAATTTTAAAGAGATTTTTGAGTTATAGAAAAAATAGAGACACTGTGAACTCCATTACATACTTATTACATACATATTATCAATTCAAACACGAAACGGGTCTAAAGCACAAGTTTTATTGAATGCAATACTTATTTCTTTTGAAACTGTATTCACCACGTCAATAATGAAATGAAAAATTGTACCGACTACATATCAATAATATTTAATTTATTACGTTTGAGAAATAAAAATTTCTAAAATATTCCAATAACTATATTTTTTCAATAATATTTAGGTTGAAATAGCAGAAGAGACAAATTTATTGAAAACGAAACTTTTCGATGTGGCCTTCGCTCCAAGTTAAATATTTGTCTAGAAAGTTCCATCGCAGACATGTAAAAATGAGCATCTGCACATCTTCGGCTCAGATGCAGTCGACGGTACTCTTACACAATTCATTGCATAAGCCCTTTCACTGCAAGGCTAGTGTTCAAACTACGCTTGATCAATAAAAAAATAACTTATGATAAATTATTGATCGTCTAGCGTTAACAACAATATGTGATCTCATTTTTACTAATTATACATTGAAATCCAATTATATAATAAATTATTGCATCAGTACATTGAATTCAAGCCGTAAGCTTTCGAATTTGCTTGAATACTTCCTTTCATCGGTACCTTATTATTATGAAAAAGTGTCTTCGAATTAGAGAACCCAAACGGTAATTAGTAAAGTTACATAGCAATTTTCTTTACAACTTTGCCAATTACCGTTAACACTGATCACAATAATTAAACTTTAACTATTTTGTCATGTATTTTTTAAAATAAAAGACCATTTGTGTTTGCATAATTATTAGCATATATATCTATCAAATCGATTATGTTAAATCTACCCTTAAGCAGTACGACGAATATGGAATATATTTTAATTGAAAGTGATTGCTTAAATCAAATCTCTCAATAAAGAAATTAACTAACGCTGCTTATTAAATTTTGAACATCGCTATTTTAGAAGAAATCTAATTAGCACAAGTTTATTGCCACTGTTTTACCTTCATTGGAATGTTAAATGTAAATTTGTACATACCAAAATTAATTTAAGCATCGCAACAACTGAAAAGAGCGCACTTAATGCAGCATCTTGAATAAAATTAAATTTTGAGAGAGCAAAACTCGGTTGCATTACATTTCATTATAATCTTATTGCTTATTCCCTTGTTTAATAATCTTTTGACCTCACATTTCCTTGGAAAATGTTGTAAATAACATGGAAACATTTCCCTTCAATGTTATATCCGCAAATTGATACAGGAATGGCCTTTGAATTAAAACCTAATGCTACAACTTCTTATATCAAAAACATATTACGATTTTCTTTGCTTGTTTATAATTGCTATGCTTATTATTAGAGTATATCTTCTACAATATTATTTACTTCAGTTAAACAGTTCTTGGATTGTTTTATTTATAAAAATATTTTAAAGCCGAAGTTTATTATATTTTAAATACGCTCAATAGCTAGATGAAAAGGAGTAAATGGGACGTTTTGTTAGAGTTCGCATCTCATTTTGATGCAACTTCTCACCACAACGTACTTGTGACAAAAGGTTTCGGACAGCACCGAATTAATACCGCGGTAAGTGGCTCAGTTTTGACATTGCTAGCCGAAAAATTTGAAATTCGAATACTATGTGAGAAAACTTTCAATCTATTCGACAAGAACAGTACAAAGTTTCTGGTTGTTACAATTGTCAAACTTCAGCGAGTATATTAGTTAATGTTAACTTTTCTATTGAATTTAGTTAGGCGCTGTATGCAGTAAAAATAGGTTTTTCAAAAGATTTTTTAGCAAAATCTACACATTTTATAGCAGCAAAAAAAATATATGTTAATCTTGATCGTAGATTCTAAGGGAACATTGTTTCCAAAACATATTCTCGATATATTTTCTCGATAGAAAAAAATCATGAAACTACCTCTAAAAGAGAAATTCAAAACCAAAAATGAAACGTAATACATGAACAAATCTTAATGAAATTAATATCAGTGGTATAGAATATATTAATAAAAAGGATTGTTATTTTAATTTGTTGATTGATGTAAGACATTTCTAAATATTAATTTAATTCATTAAAATTAATTCGAACGCGATGGCCAAAACACCGCGCCACCGCGGCGTTGTTTCGGCTCTCTTCCAACTCCACACGTTGAACAGAGAGCGCTGAGGCGCCTTGCTAGATGGACCTATGCCGCTCGTCTTCCGCTCACCGTTACGAAATATGTTCCTTATTTATTTATTATTGAGGGTTATAATTTTATTAGATCATTCGAAAACACGAAACTAAAAAATATATATTCACATATTTCGTATTTTTAATTATTTGTATGAATTAACAACTAAAGCGTAATTTCAATATCTCATCTTGTCATTGATAAGTTTATCAGTCCTATACAAACAGTGTAAAGGCAGGGATGCCAACTTAGGAATTTTCTTCCGAAATTTAGGAATAAAAAAATGTGGAATGGAAGTTTATTGGGAGGTAAATTTTTATGGGAATATTTTTAGGAGTTAAATTTTATTCACATTTTCGAAAAAACTACACAAAACAACTTATTTAAAAAAAATTGAGTGCCGTGCTGCTTTGGATGACGTCAGGCCAAGGCCTATGTGTCTGGTATGAATATTTTATGTATTCTAATAATTTTTTTTAATATTGTTTTGATTTTATTCTTAACATATTCATTTCAAATGTTATATTTGATGTTCTTGACCATGGTTTATTTTATCAGATAATTATTTTGCCTTTTCCTATAATATAAAAAAAATCCTGATTTTAAATTTAGAAATTTTTGTTTGAATTTAATAAATTTTTGTCGGTTTTCGAATTGTTTTAGGAGTATTATTTTTGAACAGTTTGTAACACTGTGTAAAGGACCATCATTCTATAGGGATTGGGTTCAAATCCCTACATTTTTCTTTGTTATATTTTTTGGTGATTTTGTTTTTGTAGGTGTTTTTTTAAATTTACCATTTAATTTTTGTTGATTTTTTATTTTTATAAATAATTACAAAGAAAAATTATTGTATTTGTTGAACGTAGAACGCAACAGTTGGAGAACAATCTATCAGATAATAAACCAAGTTTTCATTATTTAAAATTTTTAACAAGTCTTATATTGTATATTGTTTTTAATTTGTTTTATTAAAATATTTAATTTTTCACCCTAAAACGAAAACTATTCTTTTACGAACACGAAACATAATTGTTTTATAATTTTTGTATTTTCCACATTTTATCAAATAACAACAAAATAATAAATTGATTAACAAATTAAAATTGGAAAAACATGTATCAACCATGACGTTCGGACCAATAGCCTACACGATGTCTGCGGAAGGGAACAATATTTCGATTCTAGTTATAATTGGTGTCGTTTATCGATATAAGGAATTTTATCGATAATTTTTTAAATTTAATTTCATTGAGGAATTAATATAACGTAGTAAGTCTTTCACATTTAAAGGATAAATTAAAGATATAAAGTACAAGAAAATATGTAATAAAAAAATCAGAATCAGAATATCATTTATTTGCCTACTTTGTGTATTACAATTTATAATCCTGTGGCCGGTGAGCCGTGCGGGGATGAGTCAGCTAACTTATGTCCTAATGGATCTGTGTTTGCCGTGGTTTAATTATTTGTAATAAGTTAGTAGGTATACATATTACGTGTATCATTTATTATGTGTGCTTAAATTCTATCATATACAGAGATTATTTTATTTTAAGTGGACGCGGAGCCTTTGTTTTATCAGCAGGCCACCGTCTGTGACCTTTTTTATTAGGGTCATACAATATTTCGCCTATTCTGTGATTAACCGTAAGGGGGTTGAATTCGTCTTTCGCTTGGTAGGCGTCACCAGGAAATTCAAGATCTTCTATTTGTAATTTTGCGATGGTTTCCAGCATCTTGGTATTAAGGTCCTCTGCGCGTAGATGCCAGGCTTCTATATCAGCCATCTCCCAGATCGCTTCCGTGGGTGTTCGTCTTGGTAGTTGTGCAGCCGTTTTCAGCGCCATTCTGTATTGGCGTTCAATTTTACTTAGGTTTGTTGCGCTATACCTAGAGAGAAGTTGCACTACTCCGTAGTCCATCAGCGGTAAGATACAGGCCTGTATGATGGCCAGTTTCGTGTCTAGTTCGGTCTTCGCATTGTATCCTATTATTGGGCCGAGGGCTCCTCTGACTTGTTTTAGTTTTTTGATGACCTTTTCGGTGTGCTGGTTCATTTTCATCTGATCTGTTTTTGATAGCGCAACGTTTGTTGTTTCAGTTTCACTGTAGGTCGGTATTTTTTCTTTTTAGAGAACATGATACATTCTGTTTTCTCTATGTTACACTTAAGCCCCCATCTCGTGTAGTAGTCAATGATTATTTCAGCCGCCCATTCGGCGCGCATAGTCGCATGATCTGGATTCGAGGCTCTGTTGAGAATACAGAGATCATCCGCGTACTGTGAGAGCTTAAGTCCTCTGATGTTGTCTTTTATATCCCAGATGTCATGAACATACATGTTGAAGATTACCGGCCCTAGGATCGAGCCTTGGGGCACGCCGTGAGGTATCGGTTTGTCTCTGGTATTAGTAGTTCTGAATCTACCCCTCAGGTTTCTTCCTTCTAAGTAGTTCTCAATTATTTTGATGACATTGTTAGGAACGTCTTTATCCTGAAGTTTTTTGATCAGGCCTTTGTGGTTGATCGAATCAAAGGCTTTCGATAGGTCTGTAGATATCATGGAGACGCTGTCTTCCGCAGCTAGTGCATCTGTGATAATTTTTCCCGTACGTAGGATTTGTGTCGCTGTGCCTCTCGCCTTTGTAAAGCCGTGCTGGAACTTTGGTTGTAGCCGGTTAACCGTAGTAGTAAGTCTGTTCAGGATCAGTCGCTCGCACAGCTTGCCCATGATGTTCAGCAATGTGATCGGGCGATACGATGATCACGGTGATCTTTGCCGGTCTTGTGCAGGAATATGCACACGCCAGTTTTCCATCGCTTAGGAAAGTAGCCTGTGGACAAAACAAAATTAGCAAGGGGCACGAATGCCTCGGAAAATACTTCTCCCCCAAGTTTGAGGGCGTCTGCTTTGATTCCGTCTGGGCCTGGGGCCTTTTTATTTTTGAATTTGCTCAGCGCAAGTTGGATTTCATTTTTCGGTGTTAGATCAAGTGGTAGAAATGGAGTCATCTTTTCCGTCCCCTCATCTTCTTTGGCGATCTTGGCCTCTTTTACTATGGCTGTGTCGATAAGCTTATCTATAGTTTCTTCTTCTGTATTCCATCCTGTAATGTTTGGTAGTTTAACAATTGGCATTTTCATGTTACGTTGGATACGCCACATTTGTGATCTACTGTCTCGCGTATCTTGGAGTTTATTGAGCCAGCCTTTTTCCGAGTATTCTTTAAGGGCTTTTTCAGCTTCTTTCTTAGCGTAGTTATAGAGAGAGCGTGTCACACATTGCAGTCTGGGGCTGCAAAATCTCGCTTGCCATTTTATTTCTTTCAGCTTATTTCGAAGGTCTATCTTACGGTTGATTTCCATTGGAAGTCGTTCCTGGAATTTTTGAGGGGTGCATGGGTGTCAAGGGCTGCGATAATAGCCTTTTCCATTGTTTCGACATACTTTTCACAATCCGCTTCTGTTGTGATTTTATCATTCAGGTAATAGAAACCTTCCCACATTGTCTGTTGGTACGCCGCTCTTAGGTTTTCGTCCTCGTGGATTTTTTAATAAAAAAAGTCGTATTCGTAATTTCTGCCGTGGAGACTATGAAATTAAACTTTAAATGAAAATAAATAATTCGTTAATTTATTGTTTTGTTGTAAGAAATGTCATTTGCCTTTATTAATTTATTTGACCTTAAGATGTATTTTTAATCAATTCTAATCCGTTTCCTGATAATTTAAAATAATTATTAGGAAGTTTCTCAAAAATTGTTGATTGCTTTCTCATACTTTATATTTGTTTGTTTATTATGATTCCTATAATAATATAAAAGTAAAGTACAATCATGGTCTATAAAAGATATTATAGGGATCATCTGTGTACATTTTCGAAAGCCTTCCATGATACTATCGATAGTGTCCTACGGCCCATTACTACACACTAGGTAATGAATGGTCTAGCGGCGCGTCGACGAAACTCGCGCACTGCGCGCCGCCAAGCGACGTTACCCCTCCTCCGCTTCCTCATACTTCACCACCCAAATAGTTAAAAATTCACTGCATACAGCGCCTTAATACCGATAATGACGATAATAGAGGGTTATTATGGTCATATATCCTTTATTATGGTCATAATATTATTCCCTTTTTTATGTGAGAAGATGGCAAGCCAGCTGGCGGTTCGCCTGTAGCTAAGAGATAATCGCCGCCCATAGACATTTGCAACACCCGTAGGGTTGCAGATTCTTTGCCACCTTTTAATATAGTGCGCCTCAAAGGAACGCAGAAGCATAACACTTCCTCTTCGCGCGGGTCTTCTGTGCGGTCGTACTACTTACTTGGACGGAGCTGCCCATTCGAGCAACAGCCGAAGCTCTTGTGTGGCCCTACCGACTGATGTGATTTGGATATACTTTATGTTTCAACAGCTTTAAACGATTTAGACCACAGACATCATACGTTCTAGTATAACATGTATGCTGCTGTGCAGAAATACGAAGAAAACACAAAATAAACGAGAAACCGATTTATGGAGTTAATGTGTTAAGAGATATTTTAAAAATACGAAGACAGCTGATTTATTCCAGCTGTCGTCCGTAACGTTACAAGAGAGATTGAATTCCATTTGATGTGATGTTTTATGTTACGTTATAAAGAGCGTCGTATAAAACCTCACTTTACTTGAGTGATACTGATATAATAATAAAACGGCCCTTCTTCTAGACTTTAAGCATTGCCTTGGTGATATAAAATGCTACATTATCCACTTGAGTGTCTTGTTTCCTTTAATACCAATAAGATTCTGAATTCATATTAAGGATAAAGCGCTCGCGTCTTTATTGCGAATAAAGATGAATAAATGTAAAAAATATTTTTCTTTTTGTGATGGAAATAGCCACATAGATTTATGAATGAAATATAAATATCAACAATATAAGTTATCAGTATTAGTATACTATACTATATGTTTGAGGGTTCCTCCTTTAGTTTTATGCGTACTTTATGAGAAAGTATTTAAATTTCACTTTAGTTAAACTTCAGTGAGCTGACAAACAATCGGTCTAATTAAATACCATTACAGAAATTACACCGTCGTGGAATTTGTAATGGTTAGTGCTTAATGACCGTAATAACGATCTCTGCGAAGACATTTCGGGATGCATTTTGAAATTGAGCTTAAAGCAAATTTACGCGGAGGCGACCAGAAAATGATTGGTTAATTAAGCTTAACTCATTAATTATAACTTCAATTCCAAAAATGAAATAACGAATACGATTAAAGATTATGTAATACAATTTGTTAAATTACTATAGCATAAAATTTGAATCGATGAGTTTTGTTTTTACGTTTCTATAATTATTGCAGTTAAATTGCAGGCAATTGGATCAATTTTATTTTTGTTATGTATTAACGAACATGATGAGCTGATATGAGCTTTCAACTTTTTCTTTTAATGCTTATCCCATCATCATCTTCTTCCTGCCCTTATCTCACCTAGGTGGGGTCGGCACGACATGTGAATAGTGTTGTAAATGGTTTTGGCTATAGTTTTTACGACCGGCCGCCAGCCGGACCTCAGCCCTCCTCGGGAAACAAACACCCAGCTCCGGAACAATTATCTGTGGGACACACAAATACTCGTGTGGGAATCGAACCCTTGGCCCCCGCAAGTCGGTAGCTCAGCAACGGCGCCACCAAGTCATCAGTGTTTGTCTTAAACGCTTAAATTGAAAATTTGCTAATTTACGTTTATGATCGTATACTGCTAGAGGAACGTAGGTGTGACTTGTTAGAATACCCAAAATCATAACAATTAATGTTAGTACAGTACTACAAAGAATCACAGTTTTAAGATATGATGTCGGTCTATCTCACCCTACCGTTAATTCGGGTATGAGCATTCATCGCCTATAATCTAACGATCATAGTAAAGAGTAACTAGTACTTTTTTTCAGTTAGAAGTTGGCAGTCATATCTCCGAATGAATTAAGAACACTCGCTAAAATATTGAACTTAGTAGCTCATTCGTTGCTATTTTTATTTCAGAAGAGTATAACTTGAGTCCCTAATAATTATTAAGGGTTGAAGTTATTCTCGTCTGACATATGGTAATATAGAATAATTAAATATTATCGCAGTAATTAATTTCAAACGATCATGACATTCCCTAATTTAATTTACCGAATATTGCTTGATTATACTAAAATGTACAACACTAGTTTACAAATTCAGCTGTCCAAAATTATTAAATTACTAACTAAATTTCCCGTGTAAAATGGAATTGGTGAAACTAATTTAACTGCGAATCAAATTTATCAAACACTGATTTATTATAATTTGTAAAACATACGACTAAATATTGCATTAGAAATGCAAGGTTACTTACCATTAGAAAGTAAATTAACACGCTAATTGGCGACGTACCTTAAACAAAAAAATTAATCATTATCCAACATGTTTTCACCACTTATAGGTGCAATGTACGCTGTTATTTGTTATGAGATAAAGAAGAATACCACAATAGACAATCATTCATCATTCATTTATGAGACTCGCATTTCGGCAAAGAAATTGATAGTTGTTTCCCTGTCACCTTTTTTCCTCTCACCAATTTCGTTTAGTGCCGTGATACCTAAGTATCCACAGTTTATACAGTTCATAGCGGTCATAACATAGCGGCAAATAACATTCACTAATAATGAATTGATTACTGTGGTAGAACCACGTATCGGCGGGTCCGTCCGGGTAAGTACCACGACCCCACAGAAGACCGGCGTGAACTGGAAGTGTTATACCTCTGCGTTCCGTCTGGTGAGTGATGTAGCCGAGGCCCAGTTTATTAAAAGGTGGCAATGCATCTGCAACCCTACGGGTATTTCAAATGTCCATGGGCGTCGGTTATCACTTAACATCAGGTGAACCGCTAGTTCGCTTGCCACCTTCTCACGTAAAAAAAATAGACTGAATGAAGAAAATGCAAAAAATACTCAAAATTATCACAAATTTCAGAAATGTATTACAAAGGTATACTATAGTAGATCGAATAACTGTGGAAATTATTTTATGTTTTAATTTTAACTTTGTCTTCAATACATCAATTTTTTTTTTTTACCTAGGATAACGTTTAGCGTAGATAATAATAGGTACCTACATTACTACTTATTATTATCTGCGGCACACAGCGAGCACAGTACATGGTTTTCATACATAACATGTTCCAAAAATAAAATAATTAATACTTACGTAAGTTACTACTGACGTAAACGATAATTATATTAATATAAACATTTGAATATCTCGATAAAATATTTGATAAAAAAAAAACATTAAATAAATATTTCAGGACACATTTATACACAACGTTTTCGAGTGCCAAACTAAGCAACGCTTGTACTATGGATACCAGATAATTAATAAAAATACATAAACATACTTTTCTTTTGTAAATAAATACATATTTTAAATATACAAACACAATATACCTATTTTATGCCATACCTAGTTTATTTTGGTGAATTTGTTTTGATAAAAATATAAGATTGACTTTTTTATTTTTTTTTATGCGAAAAGTTGTCAAACGAGCAGACGGTTCACCTAATGTTAAGTAAATACCGCCGCCCCTGTACATCTGCTACACCCGAGGGTTGCAGATGCGTTGACAACCTTTTGAAAATTCGGACTTTGTCTGATGGACTTTTTTTTACATACGCTATCTAAATTATGTTTGAAATTTCATATGAGTGACTTATGGTCTTTTTTATGTGAAAATTTGGCAAGCTAGTAGACGGTTAACCTGATATTAAACGTTAAAATATTGTTTTAGATATCATGGTAGCATGGCTCGTAGAACAGGGTAAGGTAAGGAATTTATGTTTGAAACTAATTGGGGCTGATATTTCATAGTTTGTATATGTATATAACGGATACGGGCCTAAGTAACAGTAGACGTAATGATTAAGTGAAAAACCGTTGCATACAGCATGAATATAATATCCCCTCATGGCAATATTCCCATCGTTCCCAGATCTCGTCAATGGCGCCGACCCGAATGTCGGTAGTCCCTCGTCGTTTCCATATTCACAATTCCATCTCAAGCGCTATCTGGAGAACGGTACGGGGAATTGCTTCCACCGAAACTCATCGCAGGAATTCGCACGTGCGACGCCAAAAGAACG